TTATTCCACTATTATATTCTCCCTAAAAGAAAAAACAGAGATAAAAAATAGAATCATCATTCGAAAAATAAAGCGTTCTGCACAACATCTGGTCCGTGTTCGACTTTGTTCTAGCATGTAGTGGCGTGTGATTCATCTATAAATTTATCCTACACAAGTACTTTTACCTTTCCATAATTAGGGAAATTGGTTTTGAGGATGTACTCAACGTTGACTGGATCAACAGTATATACGTCTGACGTATGCGAGGGAGTGATTAGACGGTAAGTAGAGTGCTTCCGAGCAAGAGTTGTTTGATAATCAAAAAGTTTTCTAAAATGTATCAGTAGATTAATCGTCGGACCAGCCACTGGTGGCCGGTGGTCGTCTGAGATCAATTCTCTGATGTAAGTGACCACTGATGATACTGTGATCCCTACTACAACGTATAATGGCAAGCCAAACAAAGCCAATATGTAAGATCTTGTGATAATTGAACCCATAATAAAAAGGATAACTGTTAAAATAAAGAAGAGGAGAGTGTTCATATCTGCGGACATGTTAAAAAAAACAGGAGAGTTTCAGGTTGAGAAATATCAAATGAGTAATCTGTAATAGGAAAGAGTAATTGTTACCAATCACTATTCAGACAGTAGTTTTAGACTTTAAGGAACAATTGCTGATGTACAAACAAAGAGAACGTTTTAAAAAATCTATTGACCATAATATTAACAAAGAGCCTATTTGTGACAAAAGCGATAGCTTCAAAGTATTAATTTCTTCATATGATATCATCAGCTATACTTTTAACATTTTGTTTGTCCCATATTCTTTGTTAATTAAGAAGAGGACGAGGCCTCCTTTGAATCTTCGCCTATTGTAATATAATACTATTAAAATCGATTCACTTTCATGAACGGTGTCTACAGAAGACATTCTCAATTATTTGACTAGGAATACTCTCGGTTTGTATTGTTTAAGACGGTCATTTTTGTTTTAGTTGACAAAATATACCTTATCAAAAAAAAAAGTTGACAAAATTTATGAATCCCACGAAATAGGGCCGGGCTCATGGACCTAACTCAAAACTGCAATGCCAAAACTATTCAATGCTTTATTGGCAATATAACGAGAAAAAAAGGGCACATCACCACCGCATGCAGTCCTAGGCCAACCTTCCTCTCACATCTCCTCGACTTAACCACTATATAAGACTCTAGAGAGCATATCACGACAATTCAAACTCCACAATAAACGTGTCATCGATGATTGGGATTGCACACAACTTGTGACATTCCCACAAGGAAAAAATATATTTATCTATCGTATAAGAACACTGTGTTTATAGCATGTACATGGAAAGTGGATTCATCCTCTATCTTTTCTTTTCTTTTTTTTCTTTTTTTTCTAATCCATTCACTGGGATTTCTAAGGTTTCATAGATTTTGGTCCTAACTTATCTAATTATAAATAAAAATTATTTCATGAATACTGATAAGTGTATTTTCTACACTTATTCGAAACTTGAAATTATAAAATTTTATTGTTCTTTT